GAAAGCCTTCTTATATCGTTCATACTTCCCTTTGTTCTTTTTGAGAAGAGGACATTTGGGCTTTATGTGTCCATTCTTTTTGCGGTGGAAACATATCACGTCCTTGTTTTCTTCATTTTCGGCACTCGATTTCTGCTGAAGGTTTAGCTTCTTGGCTTTTGATGGCTCAGAATTCTTGAATTGCTTCTTTGACTTATTCATCTTTGCCTTCTTTGCCATCTTTTTCAGTTTCTTAACCATTTGAGCCAACTCTTCATCTTCATCCTCATCTTCTTCTGAATCTGTATCATCAGAATCAATGTTAGTTTTCAAAGTTATGGATTTCTTACCTTTGGGTTCTTCAGTTTCTATGAACTTTTCAGTTTTATAGGATTGAAGAGTTCTGATAAGTTCGTCCACCGTGAGTAGTCTGATCCCTTGAGTTTCTCGAATAAAGACTTTAATGTTGTTCCATTCTTTTGAAAGAGCTCTCAGCAGCTTGTTCGCCTTCATAGGTTCTAGGATAGGATTGTTTTGGAATTCAAACCCATTTACTATCTCAGTAAATCTGCTCTGCATCTCAGAGATTGTTTCATTTGATTTCTGAGAAAATGACTCGTACTGCCCAAGGAGAATATTGAGATTTGTCTCCTTGACTCTTTCTGTTCCTTCATGAACAAGCTTGAGACGATCCCAAATTTCTTTGGCAGTTTTAAGATTTGCAATTCGTTTGTATTCAACACTTGCTAGACCATTGTATATGGCCGTTCTGATCTTTGCATCCAGATGGATTCTTCTTGAAATTTCCTTGGCCGAGAGAGGTAAAGCTTGAGATCTAATTTGCTCTCTAACTCCTTCAGAAGAAGGTGTCTCAATTTGCCCTTTTGAAGTTTCTGAGGTTTTTGTTTCATTTGGAATGATTCCATATTCAACGATATCCCATATATCATGGTCTAATCCCAAGATAAATGTCTTCATCTTGTTTTCCTAGACGCTGTACTCAGTTCCATTGAAATAAGGTGGTTCGTTGTTGTGACCTGACTTAGCATTACTAGCCATCAAGAATCGTTAGCTCAGAAGTAAAATAACACTTCAAAAAAGTGAGCACCAGGCTTTGATACCAATTGTTAGGGCTAGTGCTATCACCTAGAGGGGGTGAATATGTGATTTTATCAAATTTGATAAATTAAAGTTGCGGAATGCATATAGTCAAGATCAACAACTTAAGCTCGCAATATTAGATATTTTCGTTTGATAAACTTATACAAAAATTTTCGTCAGATGGATGCGTCTAATGATAAATTGTCGTCAGATGATTACGTCTGATGACTATGATGATGTTCTAATGAACTCGTTTGAAAGATATGTATGCAGTATTATGTTAATAATGATAAATGAGAGTTTAGGGATAGAGAATACTGCACACAGATCTTTATAGTGGTTCGGCGTTGTCAAGCCTACATCCACTCTCCACGTTGGCAACCTATTGGCTGTGTTTCACTATTGAATCACCAAGAGATTACAAGAGTAGTGCTTCTCAGATGATAGATCACACTATCACGTACACTCAACACTCAAGTAATTTTCTCTCTAAAATCACAACGTGGAATACAGTAATCACAAATGTGTAAGATCGAAGCTCTATTCAAACTTTGAAATTCTCGATTCTAATTCTTGTTCTTTGTACGACGTATGCACTCCTTTTATACTCCTCCACTTCCAATCTTCCCGTTGGACAGTCTTCAGAGGATTTATCTCCAAATCAACCCGTTGGAGAAACTTCCCAAAAGAAGATGCGTAACCGTTAGAAAAAGAATCATTATCTTCAAGTGATTTGATCGCCCATATAATCAAATCTTGGTTTCCATAAGTATAGTTCTTCGTATTTAAGAAATAATCTTGTGATTACAAAAGAAAGAATATCTGGAGATATCAATTTGATCGACCTGCATAAACCTGCCAAAAATAACACTTATCGAATCTGATGAGAAATTCTGAGTCTGATGACAAAGTCCTTTCATCGACTAAGTCTGATGACTCAATCTTTGAGTCTGATGACTCAGTATTTGCCTGCATCAAATAACTTAAGCATAATTTTGGTCAAAAAGGATTGTTTTGTCATTCTTCAAAACTAATTAGGGATTTTTCTCAACACATTCAATTCAATTATTTTAAAAGGGGTATATATTGACATAAAAAAAATAACAAACTTTTGATTATTATCGACAAGTATGAGACTTAGTTGATGAAAGCAGAGTTTCGTCAACAATGAACAAAACAATCGACAACTTAAAGGGAATCAACAACTTGTCAAGGAAGTCATCGAACGAGAGCCTTCATCGAGGCTTAAGGTTGATCGACAAAGTCATCGACAACGAGCAATCAGCATAAAAGATAACTGACCTAGTGGTTATGTCCATTGCCACTAATTTAGGATTTTTTCATAACTTTTGTGAAAAAGTGTTGCTAAATAATATGAGACTGTGTAATTTCTTGTAACTACTGGTATGGTTAAGAAGTTAAATCTTTATTCAAATTCAAGATCCATTCTATGTAACCGTCATAAATATCCATTGGCAGAGGGTTATACATATCCCATTTGTACTCTTTTATAAGCCCCTTGAATCAATCATACAACTCAGCGTTCTTCTGTAAATTTATTTTTATCTTTACTTTTTTTCATTTTACATGACTTGACACAATTATTTTCAGTCTTCATACATTTAAATTTCTTGTCATTTATTCTTACGTCCAAAATCAACGAAGAACCCTGCAGAACAATTGTAGATATGTTCAGATTTAAGATCCGATTAGCATCCAACAGAAGGTTTCGCATTTATAATTAGTAGAGAGAGAGAGAGAGAGGAATGTCCATCTTCTAGCACTAGAAAAGCATCTTTTTTTAGGTTTACTAGGTGCTTAATGAAAGAACCGAACATCGATTTGTGTGGCTAAGTCAAGGTGACGTGTACAGATTTTTGTGGCCTAAACATTTAACTGAAATTATAGACAATCGCACGATATGATCTATATAATGCCTCCCGAAAGCCACGGTATATAAGGATAGGAAATTTATAAGTCCTAATCCAACTTTTGGAATGAATGTACGAAGGATTGGATCTTCGGAAGGAACGGCTCTCTTCCCTTCACTCTCCACAATCTCTCTTCTTCCAGAAAAGAAACCAAATCGTTTTGCTTTCCCTGTTAATTCTTTCCTCTGATGTTCAACCTTCCAAACAAGGAAAGACAAATTTAGTATGAGGAAAGGCAGCATCTTGCATGAGAATCATTAGTACTGTTATATGGTAGTTATTTTTTCGGCTGGCCATCAAGATAATCATTTCAAATCTTGAACAAGTTACCATAAAACCTGATGCCATCTTGAGGCAATGCTGATTTTATTAAGAAACCTGTTAGGACGGTATAAATATTGCATCTTTCTATTTTTCTTTTTCTTTTTTTTTTTGTCTCCGTGTGCTTACCTTCTTAGGTACATAAGGGTCACAACTTTCTCCGTGTCTCTGATTTGTAAGTTTGTACACAAAGACGTGTAAATGCAAACACTATCCCCTTGTTCTACACTACTCATATTTGTCAGCCTATGTGGCTTCATATTGAGGCTAAGTGGTAACATTTGAGAAGCTAAAAAAGGATGGGTGGTTTTGATGATTACAAGCCTGTCATGGCCATATTTGGCCTGCAGTTTACTTCCGCAGCTCTTACTTTGCTCGCTAGAGCCGCTTTGTTACAAGGGGTGAGCCCCAGAGTCTTTATTGTGTAATGACAAGCCACAGCCACACTTTTCATTTCACCTGTTGCCTTCTTGTGGTGGTATTGAACTGTTCTGTTGGACTCTCTCTCTCTCTCTCTCTCTCTCTCTCTCTCTCTCTCTCTCTCTCTCTCTCTCTCTCTCTCTCTCTCTCTCTCTCTCAATTTTCAGTTTTTGCAGGAAGTCTCACAGGACTTCGTTGGGATGGAAGAGCTTCTCTTTGATATTCTCGGCATCTCTCATTGGGTAAGTTTCCCTTACAAGTTAAATCACTTAGGTGATGTCAAATAATATATTTGTGCTTTTCACCTCGAAGATTGTGTTAAGGGTGAGCGGTTCTAGATTCCTTACAGATTCCATCTAGAACCTGAAACTTACCCGTTAAAATAGGTTTATGATTTTTTGGACCTAAAATATACCTTGCATTCCCTAGAACTTGAAACATACCCTGTCATAGGTTTCAGGGTCTACTCAAGTTCCACCTATACTATTAATTGAATGATTGTAATGAATCATCACATCTAATGACCACCACTTACTGCAACAATCTACTGACCACAATTTTTATATAGACACAAGAAAAATATGAAAAATTGACAAAGTAAAAGTCTCAGTGATAAAATGGAAGCTCAAACTAAAGGTTCTAAATTGTACACTTATCATCGGATGCTGTAGAATACAGCAAGATCACGCAAAGACATAGAACAGGAAAAACACAAAATCTTGTTACTGGTTCTAGGTTCTAGGTAATAAGTTTCACCTACCTAGAACCGGGAACCTATCCATCGAAACAAGTTCATCAATTTTTTTAACCTGAAACCTACCTTACATATATTGGAACCAGTGAAACCGGACAGGTTCCCATTGGTTCGATTCTCCGGTTCCAGATGCTATCATGAAATTATGCTTACCCATAGATCATATGATTCATGAGAAGGGACATTTACTATGATAGTATGTACTTAGCCTCATCATCGATCGCTAGTGCAACACAATCTTATCCCTACGATGACATTTATGATGTGTCTGCTATTGGGTAAGTACACACAACATTGTTCCAATTATTCTTGAGGAATTCAAATAAGCAGACTATTGGAAATAATTGCCCTCCACAGTCCCCATAATTGAAGTCAAAACTAATTAAACGCCAATGACCTGAATTGAGCTAATGAAGAACAAACAAACGTTTTCTTGAGCTTGAAGAAATCGAATCAATGACCAATATTTAAAGAATGATCACTCGCCTCAAAGAAGTACGTTAAATCATTTTAGTAGGGCCCCTTGTATCTACCATAATAGTTGTCCTCTCTATTGTTCCTGAAGGCGCAGCAACCCACCGTGTATACAACAATGAGGAAAAGGAGGAATATGATGTTAACCACGGCCACTTTCTTCCAGTTGCTCTTGACATTGTGCAGCAACCCGGCCTTGCACGACTGGCAATTGTAGCAAAGAACCTTGGGGTCCTTGTCCCATGCATTGCAATCGGGGTTGGAGTAGACAGCGCCAGCAGTCTTGTTCCACACTGTCGGGCTCACGTAAGTGAAATTGCAGTCATTCGATGGCTTGCAGCAACCAGACTGCATATCAAGAAACAAAAATCATTGGAATGTCATATTCTGATAGATAAAAACAAGTGCAGCTAAATGGCAAAACCGAAACACAATCATGAGTGTGCAAGCTCAGACTCTAAAAGTAAGATGCAATCAATCAGAATCACGCTACAAAGTTTGCAAACCTGGTGCTCAAATTTTCAGTGGATATTTTCGTTTAGAAGATTTGTGGTAGATATGTAGCTATATTGCAATTTACAAATCGAACCACCATATCATAAATCAGAACTACACAATGAATTTGTACGTAGTGTTGCAAAGGAAGTATCTGTAAGCCTGTCATGGCATAGTGCATGCATAATGACCTCGCATTAAAATGCTTAATAGCCATCGCAAAAAGCGACTACCTGACAATCCTATAAAAAAAAAGGTGGTGGCAGTTCTGAAGATGTATCATTGAAGTTCACAAAGAAATGCCCAGAGGAATTTAAAAAGTGCTAAATGTCAAAATTTCAAGGTCAAAGCACTTCCATCTTTCTGTGGAAAGAGATCTTTGAGGACCAGAAAAAAGATTGCACAAAGAACCACCTACAGAAAAATTTGATGAAAAATTCATCATCTGAAAAAGGGAAAAAGAATGAGGAATTAAGTCCAAAAAGGTCTAAGCTTTTAATCACTATTCAAACAAGGATAATCAGAATCAATGATTCACTGGGGTCAAGTCCACGAGGTCGGATCTCTATCACAACCACCCACAAGAAGAAACCGCAGCAAAATAACACATTCAATCTTCACATCTTCACGAGAGAACCCAAAAAGTCAGAACGAATAACAAAGATCCAAAAACAAAGATGGACAGATCTGAACTCACCTGAAGAGCAGACAAGTGCTCGGTGTAAAACTTCTCGATCGTGTCGCTCAAGTACTTGTCTTGAAAGCTCGAGCAAACCTGGTTGTCGCTCAAGCAGCTCTTGATCTTGTTCCAATTCTTGGTGCTGTTCAAACGCTTCTGCAACCAGTGCGAGTAATCTCCGAGCCGATACTCCTTATACCCTCGCTCGCTGAGAGCCTCACCAGCCCCCTTGTTCGTCACGACAAAGGCAAAGATGGTGAAGCAGAACATGATGACAATGAGTAAGAACATGACAAGGAGGTAGAGCCAGAGGAGCCAGGACACGCGGCAGCAAGCGCCGATAAGGCCGGTGAGGGAGACAAGCATGAGGAAGACGCCGAGGGCGATGAAGGGCCGCTCGAGGAACTTCTCGCAGTCGGTGCTAGCCCGATTAGAGAGCCATATGCCGGCGCCGAGGATTAGTATCGAGAGGAGGAAGGTGACGAGGTTGAGGATCCCCACAAGGTTGTTGCTTAGACGGACCATGACGAGGGGGTCGAAAAAGGCACGATCTTTGAGGTGGGTTTTCTCGAGAGCGACAGAGTGAATTGTGTGGATTGGAGTTGGTGTCACAGCCAGTTAGATTGAAATTTCTTCCCAAGTCAGCCTTTCTCACCACACTTACAAGGATCTTAGAGAGAGAAACTCGTAAAGAGAAGCTCTGGATTTCTATTACTCGTGAGATGATACAAATAAAGGGGAGGGGGCCCTATATATACAAGTATTCTTTCGATTACAACTGTAGATCTCCCTTTAATCTAACGGTGTAGATTCCATCTCTCAATCTATATCCACATTAATTATATGAACATGCTAGGGTAGTATAAATTTCCTATATTGCCCCTAAGAATATTCTAGAGTACTCGAGAAACCCTAGGGCTTTAGAATCTTCAAGGTCCCCCCAGTCTTCTTGGATCATCCTCGATTCATCGTGCATTGAAAACCTCTGGACTTTGACATTTTCCCCCACCTAATCTAGCAGCACCCTCGTCGCTTCTTCAGCATGGAAGGCATCAATCTGCTTCTTGAACTGCCAAAGAGTTTCCGTGGGTTCCCATCTTGCTTCACTCTCAAGTAGACGCTTCTATCGGATCAAATACTCTCGCTTTGGCGCATGGTACCACTTTCGTATTACTTGATTCGCCGTGATAAAATCAAAGTCTCATTCATATGAGGTTTTTGTCCCAAGAGGTGCATGGGTAACTCTCATCGATTCGGATCCTCTTCATCTGCATAGAATTGTTTAAGCATATTCACATGGAACACCAGATGTACCTTTAACTTTGATGGGAGCTCCAACTTGTATGCCACCTTCCTAACTCGCTGCAACACTTGGAATGGGCCCTCATAGTGGCAGATAAACCACTTGTGTACATTCGGATATCAAAGAACCAAGTGTAGCTTGGCCAACACTAGGTCCCTGACTTGGTATTCTTTGTGCCATCGCTTCTTCTCGGCCTATTTCTTAATGTGTTTCATAGCTTTATATAGACAAGTCTACGCCAAGTCCCTTTGTTTGTGTCACTCCTTAGCGAACTTGTAATCAAATGGGCTACTCCCTCGATAGCCCCTTGTAATCGTACTCGGAGTGAGTGATTGTTGTCCCATCATAATCTCAAAAGGGCTTTGGCTCATAGGCTTGATCTGTTGTAGGTTATAAGAGAACTATGCTACATTTATCAGCTTCGCCCAATCCTTTTGTGTTGTGCTCACATAATGCCGGAGGTAAAACTCCAAAAGTGTACTCACCATCTCCATCTGGTCATCAGTCTAGGGAGGTAGACTCGTGGAGAAGTTGAGATCCGACCTAACGAAGAGCTCGGTCCAAATCTCGCAACGAAACAAGGATCGCAATTGCTCATGATCATCCGTGGTGCTCCCCAATACTTGACAACATGCTTCATAATAGTCTAACCGGCTCCTCAGCTGGACAGTCCTTCATAGCTGGCACAAATGTCGTGCACTTTGAGAACCAATCCACTACGACCATGAGAGTTCACACCCTTCAAACTTGGGCAAGTTTACAATGAAGTCCATGGGGACACTTTCCCGTGGACACTCTGGGACAAGAAGTGGCTCAAGAAGCCCTATTGACAATCATAGCTTGAGCTTGTCTTGTTGGCACGCAAGACAAGTATTCTCAAAAGCCTCAACATTGTCGCATAGGTGGGACCAATAGTAGCAATGATCCACAAGTGCTACCATGCAGTGGATCCCCGGATGACCCACCCATTTGGAATCATTGCATCCACATAAAACTTCATTTCATAGCTTCTCATAAAGAGGCACATACAGTATTTACCCCTTGGTAAAGTTGGTCGCCCTCACACTGGAATTATCGAATCTTGCCCTCTTGTGCGTACTCAAAAAGCCTTAGCAGTGGGATCGTGTTGTAGCCCCTTTTTGATTTGCTCGGTCTATGGACACTCGGATCAATTTATGGTTGCCAATTCCGTCTTCTGACTAAGCGCATCTGCCATAGAATTGGCCTTCCCAGGCTTATACTCCAGCACTGTTGAATTCTATAAAGAAGTCTTGCCAACGAGCTTGCTTCGGGCTCAGCTTCTTTGGTGTCTAGAAGAACCGTGAGCCCAAGAGATAGTTTTGCCACATATGAAGGCAACGCATCACAGCCATCATCTCTTTCTCTTGCACCATGTATCACTGTCCGGTCTCATTCAACTTCCTTGATTCAAATGCCACCGATGTTCTTCCCAAATGAGAGTACACCACCAATAGCATAATATGAGGCATCAGTCTCTACCTCATATGATTTTGAGTGATAGGGTAGCATGAGCATTGGTTCCTCAGTCATCGTTTTCTTTAGCCAATCAAACGCCTCTTGACATCAACTTGTCCACTCCAACACTTCACCCTTTTTAGAATGTCTGTGAGTCGCACGATGATACTTGAGTAGTTTAATAGTTGAAGAGGCCAGGGAATGATCACAGCTCCGTTACCTTGGTTGGCGGTTCCCACTCCGTAATAGCCCAGATCTTTACCGAATCCATGTGCACGCATCCACCTCCATTGATATGACACAAGAATGGCACTTCCCACTACGCGAACACGCACTTCTTACGCTTACATACAGTTTATTCTCTCGCAATACTTGGAAGACTTGTCTGAGAAGCTCAATGTGCTCCTCAAGCGTCCACTATACGTCACAATATCATTCAAATAAACCACAATAAATTGATCAAGGAATGGGTGGAGTACCTTACTCATTAGTGTGCAGAATGTTGCTGGAGCATTGGTAGGCCAAAAGGCATGACGAGAAAATCATACAAGTTGTATCAGGTCATGCATGCGGTCTTTGGCTCATCTCCCTTGGTAATTTGCACTTGATAGTATCCCAACTGCAAATCAAGCTTCATGAACTACCGTGCACTGCCAAGTTGATCGAACAACTCGGTAATGAGTGGGATCGAGTACTTGTTTCCTATTGTCAGCTTGTTAAGCGCTCGTAGTCAATATGCAAATGAAGTGATTCATCATGTTTCTTCTAAAATAGGATCAGGGTGCCAAATGGAGCCTTTGATGGTCGAATATAGCAAGCATTGAGCAATTTTTTAGTCATTTCCGCAACTCCTCCAACTTTGGGGGTGCCATGAGGTATGGTGCCATGACAGGTGGTCGATCATCGGGTACTAGCTTGATACAGTAAACTACCTCCCTCCGAGGCGATAGCATCTTCGATAGTTTAGGAGGCATCACATCCTTGAACGAATTGAGGACTTAGGCTACCTCCATTGGCACATCATTCCAGTTGTCCATGGGGTCCTTAGCCTTCAAAGTTGCTAAGAAGGTCATTTCCCCTTTATTTGCTCCTTTGGATACTTACATCGCCGAGAGCATCTTTTGATCTTGTCCAGAGTCCCGATTTACCGGAACCACACATTGACCACATGTGTCAAGTATGCAAATGCAATCGGCAAATAGAACAACAAGAGTATTTGTTCTATCCAGGAAACCCAAGCCGATAACGAAATCATAGTTGTTGAGTGGGATTACCTCGAGAGTCTCTTGGCTCCAATATTTTCCGATGTGAAGTTCCACATCCCTAGCCATGTTGTATGTAGGGACCTCCTTGGAATTCATGGTTTTGAGCCACTTGGCTCTCATCTCGACCCGAAGGTTGAGTTTCCTTGCAGCCTCCTCGGAGATGAAGAAGTCGGGTGCACTAGTATTTATGAGTGCACTCATCATGCTATCCGCAATAGTCACGTCCGCGAACATAAGTCCCTCGGGCTTCTTCGCCTTGACGGCACTTGTTGAGAAAACCTCATATGATATTTTGAAATTGACAAAACAATGCATGATACCTTATGGTTTGATAAACACAAATATTGTTTATATTTCAGGTTATACTCAAATTTACAGTTAAGGAACTCAGACGTACAAAGTCAAAATATTCGTGAAGATTGGAAGGACCTATGTAAAAAAGGGTGAACAAGTTTAAAGAAATGGAAATCTCAGACTTGGAGATATCGAGGTGAACAAGAATAGAGGATTTATATTACTATCATACTCAAGTTGCCAAATGAAGAACAGTACAATATTACGAGGAAACTTGATATAACCGGGAACTACTAATATAAGCAGAGCGCTTATATTACCCGTGCAGCTTGTCACATGATCTAGATAAAAATATCCCATGTTGACTTACAATATCTAAACAATTATAATAGCTAGTTATCTGGCTTGAATTCCTCAATGAAGATGTTGATTGATCATCAATTTTGTGGAAAGATCTAAATTGATTACGCGGAAGATCTTAATTACGCTTAAGATCTTGATCGATTGTCAATCATTTGAAAGGCAAAATTATTTCCAAAGTTCAAGCTACTCTATTTTTGGCAATTGGAAGATTTGATTGTATGGGCGATCAAATCTCTGGAAACTTAGATTGATTGATTTCAACGGTTAAATTAATCTACTCAACAATTGACCAACAAAAAGCTTGAAGATTAATCCTCGTGAAGATTGTCTAACGGGAAAATTGGATGCTGAGGAATATAAAAGAAGATCAACAGACGCTAAAGCAATTAAGTATCTAGAGTGATAAGCAATACTCATCCAATGGACCAAGAAAGCTTTATATCTTTATATTGTTTTTCTAAGCGTACTGAAATTGTAATCTAGTTAAGAAATGTAATAGTGTTATAGTTTGTAGTTAGGTGTATGATAGTGAATCTATCTACTTGGATATAAGTAGCAACACCTTCGGGAAGAAGTACTTCGAGTATAAGTGGCACATATTACTGTAACTACTCAGTGGAATCAAACCAGTTGGCTATTAATATGATAGAGGGGATGTAGGTTTACACTAAGCCGTACCACTACACAGCTCTGCGTTTATCATCTATCTCTCTGATTACTTCTATATCTATCTCATATAAGTGCATTGCACTCGTTATTATCACTTATTCCAGTGTATATCAACTTACTTTATGATGATATCAAGTTATTATGATGATATCCAACTTGAAGTTTATAATTTCGCAAAAGTTAGTCTAGTTTCTTAAAATCACGTATTCAACCTTCTCTAGGAGATAT